ATTTAAAGCTATAAGTCTATAGATTTATTATTATTATTCATCCTATTTTGAGTTTGATACCTTAGCTGTAGCCAATCTTCTGGTAATTCTATGATTTGATAGTCACTTTATAGCATATTTATTGATTAAAATAACTTTTACAATCTCCCTGGGAAAATGAGCGAAATAAAAAGAGGTGACTCTATAGCTCATTAATGAACCACATATGTAAAATATCATAATCCTTCAAAGACATCCCAATACCAAAGGAAGACCTCAGATACACAGGAAGAGTAGCCAGGTAAACAAGGTAGGAGAGGTTAGAAGTTAATGATGAGGGGCTTCCATAAAATTTTTTAAAAGACTAAAAGTTCTATACAATTATTCTATGGAATTTTGATGAATACAATTGTATGCATATCGTATACTGCCAAAAGACTCATTTTAACAGAATGCTTCATTTTTATCACTTTGAAAAAAATGTACTCAGGTTATAGTTAGGAATATAAAATGATTTTATAAAAGAAAGTAATGATAACCAGCAAAGCCACCATCACTGAGAGGTAATCATAGCTAACATTTTATTTCCTTTCAGTGTTTTCTTGAGGAATTTTCCTGGCATAGCAATGTTCATTTTATGTTTACTCGATGATTTTATTTTTATTATTGTTCACTCCAATCTGTAAGGAAGAGCCTTTGTTTAAATACATCAGGCTTTTCCCCCCATATTTTTTATTAATGCATTCAACAAAATAGAAAAAATGCAGAAATATGTGGCCAAATAAATTCGTAAAAAATTGGAAATAAATTCATTAATCATTTCGATAATAGTATTATGGGACTGTATTTCCCTTGCATATACTACCATTAAAGGCAGTCTATAATTCCAGATCTAAATTTTGAATAAAGCAACTGCAAATAGAATGAGAGATTTATTTTTGAGGATATTTTCAATTCACGGAAACAAAGCAAACTTTAAGGCATAAGTCTTCACTCAAAATTTCTAACTTTTGATTGACAACTCTTGATGGGAAAATTTTCAGACTAAAACTGGTATATATTAACACTCATCTCATATACATATTATCCTACTTTGTGTTGCATACTCTCATCCCCACATGAAAAAAAGTTGTTTATTTATATGGCATGTTGCCCTCATATACTAGAAAAAGTGATACCTATCATTGTGAACATCCCTTTGCGTGTGGTGAGGCTTCCAAAAAGGTCAGGCAGGCTGGGGGCCAGATGTGCCTGGCCTGCTTGAACTGTGCCTCCAGGAGGTATCAGGAGTAAGAGATGTGCTCTGGAGCACAGCTTTGTCCACACCTGGCCTAGGAAAGACAAGCAGCAAATGCTGAGCAGACCGCTGGGGGAAAGTTATGGGTGTGCCCTGCCAGTTAGGAGCTTCCATTCATCCTGGGAAAACACCTGTCAAGGAAATGGTTTCTTCCAACAACGGGATGCTGAACTGCTTCCAATGAGTAAATTAGACACACAGCCCAGCACGTACATCCGCTCCTGTCGGTTTGTAGCCAACACAGTCTGGCTGCACACTTGACCAAGTTCTGAAATTTCTATATGGGAATTGATTGATTTAGATTTTTATCTCCTTAGGGGACAGTTTTTGTAATTAGTGTTTCTTAACAAAATCATCTATTTCACAAGTTTACAGATTTATGAGTGCACAGTTGAAAAAAATCCTCTTGATTAAAAAAAAAATTTCTTCTGTTTCTATGATTATTTCCCCATTCTCATTTTTGATGTGGTATATTTTCTGTCTCTCTCAGGATTATTAACAGCTTATCTTTTTTTGAATTTAACAATGAGAATTGGAGTATATTTACTAATTCCATCACACTATAGCGTCCTAGTTTGTTAGTTTCATTTATATAAAAGTATTTTCTTGTTTTTCTTATATAAAGTTAAATTTTGAAATTTATTGTATTTAACTTTTAATTATCCTCACTTAATAAATACACATGAGGATATGCTATTCAACATTTTCATTATCTTTTATTAAGATAAATTTAATTTCAGTTTGATAGCTTCTTTAACTCAATTGTTTAAGAGCATTTGAAACTTTTTGGAAGCTAAAGCTTACTTTTGTTAGGATAATGTTTGAGCAGATTATTAAAATAAAACATCTTATATATTTCAAACTTACACCAGCAAAAATTGCAGTCAACATAGTAGGTTTGCACACTCCAACAAAGAGTGTTATGTAACAAAAGTTGATATTTGTCATGTGAGTGGAATATAGTTTTATGTTGACCATATTCTAAAAGATAGGGCAAAAGAATATTACCCTTGCCCCATGAGAACAATGTGGATGCTTTGATTAGTGTAGACTGGGAACTCAGCAAGAAGAGTCTCTCCCTGTGCCGCTTCATGCCTTGCGGCAAAGCAGCAGTTTTCTTTCTGAATCCTGACCACGCTTGGCAAAAAGGGTATAAGAGGACAAAATTGAAGGTGAATTGATAAGAAATGCTGAAGGAGAGAATGTCTCCACTTAACACCCACATTGTGAACTTGGAGGGGGACCTTTTCCTTTGGTTGAGACCACAGACATTCAACTGAAACCCTGATCACAGCCTTGAGAGAGGGAGCCTGTGGGAGCTGTGAGCTAATGTGTGTTGTTTTGATGTCAGGGTTCGGAGTGGTTTGTTACATGGCAATAGAGCGCTAATACAGAGGCAAAAATAGTTCTCTCTCTCTTTCTGACTTTCTTTTAAAAGACAGGATCTCGCTATGTTGCCCAGGCTGTTAGTAGAGTGGCTATTCACAGACACCATCATAATCACTGCAGCCACACCTGGGCTCAAGCAATCCTTCTACCCTTAGCCATCAGAGCAACTGAGATTACAGGTGCACACCACCACACTTGGCTAGACTTTCACTTTTAGTGAATGAGTTAATAATTGAACAGAAGAGTTGTGAAGACTGTGGGAAGGAAAATGTAAAGACAGCATTTAAAAAAAAGTAAATGAAGAAGGTATAACTAAACACAAATCACTACTAGCATTGTTACAGTAAACACATATTTCTCATGTTTTTGTTAATGGTGTTAATACAGTAACTCTGATCACTAAGACTGTAGCTAGCTTAATGTCTAATGATGTTAAAATTGTGTTAGTGCTATAAAATGTTACTTATTTGCAAGGAGCTGTTTCACAATAGACTACATAGTGCTTAGTAGTAGTTCTCTAATTTAGCTACATATTAATGTTACCAGGGAAGTTCACAAAAACGAACACAGATATTTGGGCCACAACTCAGACCAAATAAAATCAAATCCTTAATCTTTTGTAAGGCTTCCTCCAGGTAATTCTAACACACAGGTGAGGTTGAGAGTCACTGGCATGTGAACTGCCCTGGACTTGAGGCACTGGAAAAAGGGCCAGCTTCCAGGATCACAGAGAACAGGAAGGGATCTCAGTGTTGGCCTCCTGAAAGGCCACAGTTTGTGAGTACTTTGCCATGTGAATGGCTTGTCATCATTATCCCACTTAATTAGAGTAACTCCTACAAAGAGTATCATAAAATACAGCTTGTAAGTGAGCTGTAGTAGTCATCACCATTTTATAGACAAGGAAATGGAGTCTTAAAGACATCAAGTGTATTCTTCAGTGTTGAAGTCTGGGTTTGAAATCAAGTTTAAATCTGGAGCAAGTATGGTTAGCTAACTGTATCAGCCTTTCTGGCTTTGCGGATGACCATAGCCTCCCGGCACATTTGACAGCAAAAGTCTTGTTTTATGCTCTTGCACTTGTGGCCAACCAGGTTCATCTTATCGGGCTGGGGGCAGCAGCTTTGCCCCGTGGGTCTCCCACCCTCCATGGACTGGTGGTCACCACCCTGTGTGCTCCTCATTGCAGCAGAAGGACAGCAGGGAGGAAGCCTAATCACACACGCCCCTTAGATTTTACAGCTGTGAACAGCCTGGGGTCCAGAAGAGTTCAAATGTCAGCCTGGAATGGATGGGTGAAAATTTTCCTCCTCCAGGGTGGTGGCGGTGGTGGTGTGTGTGTGTGAGGGGGAGTATATTGCGAGCAATGAATGATCTTATTTCACTCAGTGTCAATGAATGATTATTTTTTTCTTACACGCTTTCCTTTCCAGATCAACATTCCAAACCTTGGATATAATTTTGTGTTGTAAAGAATTCTAATTTGTACCCTCTAAATCTAGAAAAATAAAATAATTAGAACAAACAACCAAAAAGAATCCTCTACAAAACTTGTGGTGTTAGGCTCTTTCTCAGTGAAATAACTGTATTCCCTAAATGTGTTCAACTTGGTGGAATCTGTGTTTATATGTCCTTTTGTATCAACACATGGCAACAGGAGCCAAGCAGAAGTTTACGCCGAATGCTCCCTGGTTAAATAAACCCTGGCTTCATCTTACACTGAGAGTTTTGGTCAAAATAAAGTGCACAGTACAAGATGACTTGCTACCCTGTTAGAAACAGGGAAAGTTGATTTTGTGGTAGGGGATTAACTACTTCGGAGCTGCTCAAAAAATCTGGATTCTTCTGAAAGCTTTATATTACTTTTATGAATAAACCTTTTTCCTTTATTAGTTAACAAGTACTTTCCTTCTAATAGGAGTAGGATTATTTTATTAGTTATTCTGATCCGTCCAGGCAAAGCTTAAAAAGGAAAATCTTTCAGGACACAAACTTGTATCAGATTTATTAAAAACAATCTAAACAGCAGTAGCAACAACAACAAAACACTTAAGGTCTTGGAATATATTATTGTAACTGGAAGTACTAAAACACATCTCTCCCCCTAAACACACACACACCCACACACACACACACACACACAAACACCATCCATCCATCCATCCATCCTTCCATCCATCCATCCTATTAGGTGGGACAGCAGGATAGATCTAAAAGACTGTCATGTTATTTTACTGTTTCAATGGGCTATGGTGAACAAATAATTTTCTAATTCTTTAAACACAAAGAGACATCTTATTTATATGAAAGGAACTAAATTGAAAAGGATACTTACCTTGTGAACTTTGAATAATACCTCACAGAGGTTATAGATTCTTTCGGCTTGTACCCAGTCTAATGTGCTCACCTGTAAGAAATGTAAAATGTGTACATGAAAAGAAGCACGCTACTTTTAGGTGGAAATTTTTAACATTTAAAACAATGGCATGTCTCAATGTGGCACCATTGGTATTATCAGTAACACTAAATTGTACATATTGTTGTCAATGGTCATGAGTAATGACATACTCATCTCTGTTAACATGCAGAATGAATATAAGAATGATACATTGTTAACACAAGAATGTGGTCATGTGGGAGCTTATCTATCTCACAATATTGGGCATAATTTTAGCAATTCATTTTGTCTCCCTTGTAAATTAAAGACTAATTTTAAGTTAAATTCAGAAAGTTTAAGAGGATAATGGCTGTGAAAGTGAATGCGTTTATACAACTACTAGAGTTCGTGACAATGGAGAAAAAAATAATGTGTAGAAAGTCTTTCACTTTTCAGAATGAAACACTAGGCAACTCTATTTTAAAACTGAATAAAAAATTACTGACTAATCAATTTAATTGAACACATTTTTATTGGTCTGACCTACTGCAGTTCATAATTATTTTAATAATAATGATTAAAATTATCTTACTTTTTTTTTGAGTTGGAGTCTCACTCTGTCACTTAGACTGGAGTGCAGTGGCCGCTCCTAGCCACCACAGCCTCGACCTGCTGGGCTCTGGCAATCCTTCCGCCTCAGCCTTCCAAGTAGCTGGAAATACAGGCGCGCGCTACCATACCCAACTAATTTTTTTTTTATTTGTTGTAGAGATAAGGTCTCACCAAGTTGCCCAGGCGGGTCTCAAACCTGCGGGCTCAGGCAATTCACTCACCTCAGCCTCCCAAGGCATGGGATTACAGGCTGAGCCACCGAGCCCAGCTAATTATCTTACTTTTGAATGCTCTTTATGACTTACAATTCATGCTCACATAGATGATCTCTAAGTTAAAATATTTTTCGTTGCAAAATTTAAAATATGCAGCCATGTAAAGAGCCGAATTGTTTTATTGTTGATTCTACGCTCATTCTTTCAACCAGTAAAAATAATCAAAAGTTCACTGTATTGTGTCTTTGAAACATTGAATCAACTGATGGCCTCCTAGTAATCATTGCACCAGACAAAATTCTCAACACATAACCAGCCATTTTAAAGCTATCACAACCATAGTGTTTAATCTTCCTATGTCAACTTATTGCTATTGTAATTTAAACATTAGAAAATAAGAAAAAAAGTACAATTTAAAAGTGAAAAGGGGTCAATTAAAGTGCTAATTTGGAGGTTATTTTTTAATTTAGTACAACATTCAGGCTGTAGAAGTCACATCTAGAATCTGCTAAAGGCAATTAAAGGTACTTATTTCAACTGAGTTAAAAAGCCCCACTCTGGCACCCCTTCCCCTGAGAGCCAGGGCAGCAATGCTAATGAGCGCCTGAAGTTAAATATCACACTGACTCAGCATCAGCGTCCACGGACCCTCAGAGATGTACCTCTTTCTCCTTTCCTACTCTTCCAGCCCCCACCACGGTCAGTCTTTAGGGTATCTCCTCATGTCAGAGCTCAGGTGCTGTTTGTACTATTGGAAAATAAATACACATGTGTGGACCATTTTTAACTTTTTCAGTTATGACAACGTTGCTTATTTTTGGATAATCTAAATACAAAGACAAAAAGATAACTGAACATTAAGCAGAATTCAGACTGCATCCCTTAATAGCTTACTTTTTGGTGTAAATACTCATTATACATGTTGATGGAAGAAATCTTTTCAAAATTTAATTTGCAATATAACATTTCCCCATGTCATTAAATGTCATTCAGAAATACAATGGTAATGACTGCTTGGAATTTCAGTGTCAATTTATTATTTTTGTAAGTTTTACCTATGTGACGGACATTTTAGGTTGTTTGTAGGTTTTGGTCACTGTATTAGTGCTGTGTTTTATCTATTTAGTGGACATCATATCCTAATATTATATTACACTGAGTGCATTTTTTTCTACTGGTTTGTTGTCAGTAGACGACAGAACAGTAGGACTAGAGTCATGCTCTAAGATAAGACTCGAGGAGGTTCTGCTTTATTGTTTGCAAAACTCAGGCCTAGTTCCTCACTCATTCTACATATTCATATCACGCTCACAACCATCTAATTTTGGATATACCAGTGGGCATCTATTGATTTTGCTGTCCTCCTTCCATCTGATTATTCCTGCCAATGGCCACGTCTATTCTCTTGCTCAAAGAGCCTTCTCCACTCCCAACACATGAGCTCTCAGTCTAGGGTGAGGAGCTGCAGTCTGCACACAAATCAGGCTTTAATTCTCACCCTCTTCACTCCTGTGCCTTGATTAGAGACACAGGAAAGAATAAGAAGATGCTCAGGTTTCTGGGACTAAATCATTTCTTCTGTGGATGTGACAAAAAATGCTCCCACCCTGAGAGCTGCTGGAAGCTTTGTTGGGATCACATGGACTTTGGCAAATAGTATGCATCATACTGGCTCCACCATTGTAGTCAGGTGTCACACGATTGCAAGATGTTAGTAAAGAGGGAAATGGGAGCTGGTGCAGGGGGCATGTGGCTACTCTGTTGTCCTGTAAATCTAAAATTCTCTAAAAAAAACCAAACTCTAATAATCAGAAAAGAGGGTATTTCTCTTCATTGCACTTTTGTTTGTTTACCGAAACCCCACGGCTTCTAGGAGACTCAGCTCCGACCCAAACCACATGTTTTCCTGACAGCTCAGGCAGGTTTCCCTCTCCTCTCCGAAGCCTCAGTGGTCCTGCCTTCTGCACCCCCCCCACTGACACTCAGTCAGGGTGCTTTCATGTGAATTAATCATTTATGCGGTACATGTATAGCTTCTGGGACTGGAGCTACTGGGAGAGAGAGCAGAACTGGCTTGTTTTGGGTGGAAAGCATGTCCAGTCAATACAGCAAGGAACTCAGATGGTGAGTATGCAGAATTAGATCAGTAGAGCCTTGTTCTAGCCTTTCACAAGTATCTTTCCTTATGTGGGCATGATCACTTCTCTAATTTAGCAAAAGCACAAACATGAGGTACCCCTACATTTTTACCAGAAGAAAGTTATCGCCAAGATATTCATTATGCCTTTAGGGCTCTTTTCATTTTTTATTTTATTAGTCATAGCTCTAGACATTGTTGAGGCTGTGACAATTTGAGACTAAACATAACAGTCTCACAGATAGAGATTATTTAATATGAAACCATTTCAAGATATCCAAGACAAGCATTTAATGAACTGGATAGCTTTTATGGCATAGCTCAGCTAGGAGACAGGTTGCTATAACAAAAATAAGTGGAAAAAAAGGGCTAACTTGAGCTTAATGTTTGGGAAACTAGTAAAAACTCTCTGCCTCTGTCTCTCTGCACACACACACACACACACACACACACACACACACACACACACACGTATACATGTATATAAAACTATGCACTGCAGAGCAACTTTTCATCTGACAACGGACCACAGGTACCACCACAGATCCACGGATTATAATGGAGCATACACAGAACTTGACCTCTGACACTTGATACTGGCATTGCAGATTGGTGGAGGAAATGGCTTACATTCAGTAATGGTGCTGGGACATTTGGTTTTCCATATAAAATGCAGATAAATAAAAATAGATACAGACTCTTGGTGTGTGTAAGCACACTCTATGGTATTTGCACAGTGACAAAATTGCTTAACCCTTCATTGCTTAGGGAGTATTGTCCTTAAGCAATGAATGTATGTATATAAATAAATAAATAAATAAATAAATAAATAAATAAAACTTGAAGATAAATGCAAAGTTCAAAACTAGACGCTTGCCTAGCCCATGGTGCAGTGACAAACAAAGTGTAGAGAGTATTGTTCTGAAGCAGGGTATTCAACATGTGTTCGTACTAAACCTGATGTGGCCAGGTGCCACCTGCCAAGGCAGATTCCTAGGCCCCATCTGGGTGGTTCAGATTTAGAAAGTCTGGAGAGAGTCTCAGAGAGTTTGATTTTTTTATTTTTAAGTACGTTGACTATTGATATATTGAAAAGGACTAAGTCAGGTCTGGGCAACAACAGCTTTAGCATCCCTGAGATCTTTTTGGAGATGCTCAGTTTCAGGCCCACACCAGACTTACCATCTCAGAACTTGTGTTTTAAAAAAATAATTCCCAGTTAATTCATATGTTCTTTGGTGTTCTTGATATTTTACGAGGTGATTCTGACAAGATGGTTTCATGAAAAAGCAACCTGAGGATTAAAAGCCTGATACCTTTTAAGAGGAAAGGAAGAAAGACACGGTGGAGTGGAAGGAGGAATCGTGAACCAAGAAAACTGCATTTACAAAGTAAATGCATATCCAATTGCTATACATCTTACAAAATAATTCCTTATTTTGCAAACTATATACTCCATGCCTTAGCTTCCTTAAATCTAAAAATCTCTAATACAGCAAAAGGACTCATTTTATGCTCTGTTTTTCAGGACAGCACTTCTTTTGTCAAAAGGGATGAAACACTCTAATAATCAGATAGCTAAATGTAGATAAACCCACTCAAGTCATCTTACAAGTTCATTCTCTCTGAGGAATGTCGGAAGAAAGACCCAGTGGCTCTGTCATTACACTCCTTCCTGGTGACTCAGAAACCAGGACAAGGAAACATGATGTGTGCTAATACCTGGACTTCTCCAGACTAGCACAGAACAACAAAAGAAATAACCAGACTTTGTGATATGAAAGAAAAGATGGATAGGTTTGTAATTCCATACCATTGCTACTTTTATCTAAATAATGACAGTTGATAATTTTCTAACATATCTGCCCACAATTTGGCTTTAAATGGAGCAGAAATTTTAGATGACAAGATACAATATCATATCTGGCATCTACTATATTATGGCAGAAAAATGAATGTGTAGTAATATAGACTAATTCTATATTCGTCTGTTTACAAATCTTAATTTAAATTTAAATTATCTCCTTGCCAGTTTTTTAAAATGATAGAATGTACATACTTAATTG